CAGTGGGGACCCCCACCCTGAGGGTGTGTGACCAGCTGCAAAACAGCCTATCATTTCCCTCATCCAGGCTGCCCGAGGCTACCCCAGGTGGCGACCCTCCATCTCTGATCCCAGGACCACCCTTCCAGGGCAAACCCAGCCCGGCCCCCAGCCCTCTATCCTATATAGTAAAAAGGGTAATATCCCTCCCAGCACTGGGATCAGCGGAGCCGCGAGCCTCCCTGGCACCGGATCAGTGTGACAGGGGGCAGTGCCCAAACCCCCCTGATTCCTCTGCGGCTCTGTGTGTGACAGGGGTGTGGCATCCCACCCCCCTGTTCGGCCCTGCTCTGTGTGTGACAGGGGGTGGCGCCCCAACACCCCCCCCCCCCACGGGCCCTGCTCTGTGTGTGACGGGGTAGAGCCATAACCTCCCCATCGGCCCTGTCCTGAGTGTGACAGTTGCGGCGCCCCAACCCCCTGATCGGCCCTGCTCTGTGGGTGATAGAGGGCGGCGCCCCAACCCCCTGATCCGCCCTGCTGTGTGTGTGACAAGGGGCGGTGCCCTAACTCCCCTATCAGCCCTACTCTGTGCGTGACAGGGGGAGCTCCCCAACCCCCTGATGGGCCCTGCTCTGTGCATGACAGGGGGCAGCGCCCAACCCCCTGATTGGCCCTGCTCTGTGCGTGACAGGGTACGGAGCCCCAACCCCCCTGATGGTCCCTACTCTGTGCGTGACAGGGTACGGAGCCCCAACCCCCCTGATGGGCCCTGCTCTGTGGGTGACAGGGGGCAGCGCCCCAACCCCCTGATCGGCCCTGCTCTGTGCGTGACAGGGGGTGGCGCCGCAACCTCCCCATTGACCCTGCCTTGAGTGTGACAGGGGGCGGTGCCCCAATCCCCCAATTGGCCCTACCCTGAGCGTGACTGAGGGTGGCATCGCAACCTCCCGATCCACCCTGCTCTGTGCATGACGGGGCGGCGCCCCAACTCCCAATCGGCCCTGCTCTGAGCCTGACCAGGGGCTGCACCTAGGGATTGGGCCTGCCCTCTGCCACCCGGGAGCAGGCCTAAGCCAGCAGGTCGTTATCTCCCGAGGGGTCCCAGACTGCGAGAGGGCACAGGCCGGGCTGGGGGACCCCCCCCCCCCAGTGCACAAATTTTTGTGCACCGGGCCTCTAGTACTTCAATAAAATGAAAGGAAAATAGGTCCTACTCTATTAAAACTCAATTAAAAACAAAACTCACTTTCTAAAGACACTTCCCAACCCTGGGCAATTTCCACTTGTCCTTTACTCAGTTACAAATGAAACTGCCTCAGGAAAAAAAATAATGACCTTTACCCAATGAAATCACAAGAACAAGTGACAAACATTCAAATATAACAAATACCAACAGTGATGAAAACAGTGTTTGTAAGTTCTGAGTTCCCAAAAAGAATACCAATGAAAACTATCCATCAATAAATTATGAGAGTTACTGCAGCGGGGGAGGACACAACCTTGGTAGAGACTGGGTAATGTCTCAGAAGAGGAAACTCAAGACAAGATACATATAGGGTTTTAGGTCCTGGGCTAGGTGATTTTGAGGTGTATCTTGGAGGGCAGGGAACTGGTTGGGATTGGGTAAAATTTATTACATAACAGTGTTGGATGGATGAACACAGTGACACTAGGATCTTGAAGCATGTTCTTGATAAGTAAGCTATTTTAATTGGTTTACAATCTTAATCTCCAGGAACAATTATTTCCAGGACCAAGTAGCTAAGCTAGATTGGCCTGGGTAGGCAAAACCAGGAAAGTATAATTTGGTCCAAAATTGATTAGCACAGGGACAAGAAAGTATGTTGTTTTATGGTGATATATATTTATATTTTCAAATTAATTACAAATGATGTGTGTGTATATATAGGGTGTCCAAAAAATGTATACACATACTTTGAATAATTATAAAGGCAGTGTTTATTAAAATATATATCATTTTCAAAATTGAGCTATCAGCTGTTACAGTATATATACATTTGGGGAAGAAACCCTATATAGGTATACAAGACTGGGCAAAATAAGTTTATAGTTATAATACAAATAACTAATACAATAATTAATAAATAATATAAGAATAAACTCTGCCCAGCTGGTGTTGCTCAGTGGTTGAGCACTGACCTATGAACCAGGAGGTCACAGTTTGATTCCTGGTTAGGGCACATGCCTGAGTTGCAGGCTCTATCTCTAGTAGGGGGTGTGCAGGAGGCAGCCAATCAATGATTCTCTGTCATCATTGATGTTTCTCTCCTCTCCCTCTCCTTCTTCTCTCTGAAATCAATAAAAATATGTATTTTTTTAAAAAATTACAATTTGCTTACTATTTCCCAATGTCAATAAATTTCTGTAATTTCTTTACTTATTTTTGTCACCATCATATTTACATAGAAAAGATAATTGCATCTTATTGGAATGATTTTTATAAATTTAATAGAGCTATTGTTAATGACTTATTGGTTGTTAGATGGCCAACCCCTACTGAAAGTAGCTAACAAAGAGTTTGAAACAAAGGTTCCTGGCCAAGCTATGAAAAATCTTTCAAAGTAGTTAACACATTTCTTGAGTATTACTGAAACCTTGATAAACTTAGGAAAGAATTTTGGCCAGGTATCCCAAGAAATTTGTACTTGTGGACTTCTAGTAAATGTGTACTGTTTTCAGGCAACAAACTGAAGGCATCAGGGCTTATCAATATCAGACCCTAATGATTGATAGTTCTTTTTTTTTTTTTGTAGACAAGGAAGAAAACTTCACCAAATATGTAATATCTGATTATCAGTATCTGATATGTTAAGCAAACAAACAACAACAAAACACAGCATGAGATGAGGGAGGAGCAAGGACCCAGCTACTATAAAATGTCAAGAACACAGAACTCAGAACAGATGCAGCACAGTCACTAACGAAGTACACAGTTTGAGTCAAGTCACCTCTCTGGACTTAAATTTCCTTCCAGTCATAAAATTTTCCTTATCAAATTATCTATAATGTCACTTTGGAAGACAAAGACCAGAGCATCAAATTCAGGAAAAGTAAATTTTTGCTAAGGGAGGGGATGGAAACTTTATCCAAAAAAATTGAGGACTTTGCATCAGGGCAGAGAGTTGAGTCAGTCAGGGCACAGCAACTGAAGGCTCTGATGGCCTACTCCACACCTGTCCCACTTGCTCCCTGGCTACCCAGACTGCCTTTAAGTTGAAAGGTACTGGACACAAGTGGCAAAAAAAAATTGTAGCCCAACTTCACAAGGCTTGACATAGAAAGTTTACTGGCAACATTCAATTTGACCACCTCTATTTGACAAAAGACTGCACACCTATGTGCTTTCAAGTCACATCATAGAAATAAAAGTTGACTTTTAAAAATACCTTCAC